ACTGTCGTCGTGTTTTATCTCATTGCATGTGTTCAAACAATATTTTGGCATTGATTTGCCAATGAAAGAAAGCAGGATTTCTTACAGGAATGTGGATTTTAATGCAGGACAGGGAACTAAAGTGTTTTTTAAAAATTGCTCCAAATAGTTTTGGGTTAAAAGAGGACAACCACGAGTCAAGATTTCAATCCTGTAGATAAACTTTTTAAAGAAAACTGTAAAATGCAGCTATAGATTCTGATTAGTACACAGAAAAAACATTGGTGCAAAATTCCTGTAGAAGGGGTTGTAAAACAAAAGAATACTAGACATGAGTTTTTACGATGTAAAAACAAGTGTGCATTGCCTTGTAGCATGCARCAGTGGACTTGCAGATTGAGCTGTGAGCAAGTTCAAATGTGATTTTTATACCAGCTTGTCAAGTCAACAGGTGTTTGTAATCAGGGTAGTTGTGTGACAATATGAAGTTTGAAGAGAATTTTAGTTAAAGTTGCTGTAGCTGGGCTTTGAACCCTGATCTCTCACATGAAAGTTCATGGCATTAACCATGAGACCATTGGAGCTGTGTGAAAGCACAGTCCCTGTGTTTTTTTTTCTGTGTGTAGAAAGAGGCAACATTGCCAATTACGATTGTTGACACAAAACTGCATTATTACAACAATAAAGCAATATTATATAAGATGTAAATGCTTACAAGACAATATTATAATAAAACATTAAGATACAAAGAAATTAGTATTGTAATCACTGAAGTACTGAGTTTAAATATTATTAAAGTATGGTGCAGTACCAAGCTGAGCACATAAATCAGGGGCAGTATTGGACCAATACAAGGCTCTATTGACACACATTAATAAAGTTTAAAAATTAATATTTCAAAAACTATAAGTTGTACAGGCACCAAAAAGCATAGCTTGCATTTGGCACATGAGCTTTACAGATAGAAATTACAATGGCAGCTCTAGGACTAAGTATGTAGGAAGAGAAGCGTGCCGAAATAGAGGATGACTTGGATGGGGAATGAATCACAATAGTGTGCATTGCGTTGGCAATGCACACTGATTACAGAAAGGGCAGGCATGTTTCCTAATGTGTGAGTTACCAAATGTTAACTGAAAAATGGCAATAATTTAATTTGAACGACCTTTTTAGTTCTTTGATTTCCTTAGATTTGTTTGTTTTTTTTCTGTCATTCCAATGTAAACAGGAAATATCAATGCAGCTTGTGTTTTATTTTTTGCCAGRTGTGTTGCATTGTCTCTCAGAAATACAGAGGTGGCTTTGTTTTCATTTGTGACTGTTCACATTTTTTAACTCGTATATAAATATTCTTCTCAGCAATGGACGTTTTAAAGCAGAGAGTTGCTTTACTTAATAGGTTGGAGGAGTTTGTTTTGACCTCTGACAACCAATTTGGTTTTAAACCTAAACATGGCACTGACATGTGCATCATTTTTGCGTTAAAGGAGATCTTAGACTTGTATAAACAGGAACAACACTACAATATTTTTGTGTTTTATCAATGTGTCTAAAGCATTTGACCATGTGAATCATCAAAAGCTTTTTTTACRAGCTATATAACAGAGGAGTACCAASATATCTAATTAGAATACTTGCTTATTGGTATGAGCACCAGTTAATGTATGTGAAATGGGGTAACAGTGCGTCTGATGGATTTAAAGTTGGTAATGGAGACAGGMAGGGAAGTATACTGTCCCCTTACCTCTTCAGTACCTATATGGACGAACTGTCAAAGCTTTTAAATTGTTGTAAAACAGGTTGTGTAGTAGGGTGAACACATACAGCGGGTAAAATAAGTATTGAACACGTCAAAAGGAAAAAAATTGTATAGGTCCTCTGGACGGGTTCTTCTNCTTTTACACATGGCTCCTATATACTAGATGAACTTGTGTAAACCGTCAACAATTGTTTACATTTTTCTTAACAAAAAGGAACTTGTGTGAAGATGTTTTATCAGTGGCACTTATTTAAAGTTTATAAGCTCTTGATAATGTTTTTATTTTTTTACACTCCATGTTGCACTAAACAGAACAAAAGTAAAAACTGGTTACTTGTACACACACTGGCAAACAAAGCATCTGTTATTAGCTTGTAAAACAACTGTTTTTATGATGTTATTTATTAGAACAAATATTTTTGTTTATTGTAGACTTTATTTCTTTATCATTTCAGCATTTGTCATATCAGAAGCCTGGGAGTTTTATTTTTCCCAGATGATTGTATTTCTTCAAGACTGTTTWTTCTGGGAAATAAATTAACTTTCTAATGGAAAACAAAATGTGTATTCATGTTWGAACTTGACAAACAGGAACAGCCTGTTTCTGACTTCTTTTGTTTTTAAACAAAATGTGTGCCAGACAAAACAAAGCAGTCATGAAACAGGAAGTGATGGAGATTAAATGCCTTTCAGTAGAAATTTACAAACGAACAAGTTTGTTTTMTGTAAGTAGAGCGGAGACAAAAATACAAACCATTGTTTGAACTGGTGTGTATCATGGAGAATTTGGGGCTGAATATATTGGTCTATATTGAGTCTCAGTCCTGACTTTAGAGGACCGTGCAGTGTTGTTTCATCTGAAGAAGATACTTAATGTTGTAATATAAAATAGACTCTTAGCTGCTTTTTTATCCTCTAAACAACAACATTGAGCAAAATTTAGCCAAGCCTTTGCACTGTCCTCTGTTTCTTACACTTGAAGTCTTTTACGTTTGGAAGATTGTGTTCTCAGGACCACTCCAGCTACTATTGTTATGCTTAAGAGGAGGGGGAGGTGACCAAGGACCCAGATAAGAGTGGGGGAAGGTTTAATGGTTAAACTGCAGTTGTGTGAAGAAATCTACTGCTTTTTTTCAAAATGGCTGYAGGTCAGATTCAAGTTTCCATGAGGCCAAACTTTTTCCACATCTATGGAGGTTTGCCATGTAACTCTTTAATGGCTGGTAAGTTGATTGATTTATTTATTATTTTGTTGTATAATAATTTCCTTTAGATGTGAAAGAAAAGAGGAGGCAACTGGTTCAAATTTGACTTATTTTCATGTCAGGTTGGTCTGGCTCTGCAGTGGTCAACAACTCGGGTGTGTGTTAATCTGTCTCTTAAAGATCAGAAAGTTCAGCAAAAAMCATAAAAAAAGCACCTTGAAAAAGTCTTAATTTTCCCTTGAACTTTTAAAGGCAACCATCTCAAAGAATCACATACCTGTAAAGTGGAAAAAAATGATACCTGATTCAATTTATTTTACAAATAAAGATTTGAAACAAGTAATGCATTTGGTTTCAGGTCTGAGTCAATACTTTGTAGATCTACCTTTTGTTGCAACTTTAACTGCAAGTCTTGGGGTAAACTGTACCTGAATCTGTTTTGATTTAATCACTCTGCTGTAGATGGTTATCCTGCTGGAAGGAAATTCTTTGCCCCAGTCTCAAGTCCTCTGCTGACTCCCAGGATTGTCCTTTTAACTCATCTTCCTGTTAACCCTGAGCAGCTTTCTTTCCCTGCTGGGGAAAAAAGAATCCCCACAGCACGATCCTGCCACCACCGTGTTTCAATTACGCAAAGTTTAAATTTAGGCCAAAAGGTTCTAATTTGGTTTAATCTGAAGTGAGCTCCTTCCATAAGTTTGGTGTGTCTCGTTTCAAATTGCAAATAGGACTTCTAATGGGCTTAAGTTTGACATGTGACCCACAAAATCAAAAGKAGGATTAAGTCTAAAAGTGGAATGTGTAGAAATAGGCAGATATAGTGTTTCGATTAAAACATTTGCAAAAAATGCATTTTCTCAAAATGTAACCAATACATACCTTTATCAATGTATCATTTGAACGAACTGTCTGAAAAATAATCTTAAAATAAAAATTTGAAACACTTTTTGAGCAGTAGCAACAAAAAAAAACTTACGAGGAAAAACGCCTTAAAATTTTGAGATTTTCCCTGTGAGCTAAAAAAGCTTTTGTTTCTTTCCAGTTAACGAATCTCAAAATTCAAATACTATTTGAGGTTTCCTCTTTATAATGACATAAAAAAGATTCCTCATTAAAATTACATAAATTAAGCTGACATTAATGTGTCATCATAACCA